ATTATATAATAATTTTTTTTTTATGTTTAAGTTTTAGTAGAGGTTTTACGGCGCTCGCAACTGCATAAGGTCATATGAGCGCCAGAAGATTTACGGCAAGTTCCCACTCAACAGCATGCTCTAAGCGCTTTACATCATTATTGTTACCCCAGCAGAGACCTGATAGCATTCTGAAACAATCTCAACTATCTAGGAAGCATAAACTGCAAGCTGTCAATTTTATAGGAGCTAAAGCACTAACAATAACATGCTGACAAGACCGATTTGTTGTCTACGGCCAGGTACCTAGAGCAGATAGTCTAGCCGGGTACCCATTCCCATCTCGGTGAAGTGAGGAAAATTCGTGTAAAGTGTCTTTCCCAAGGACACAAAGTTGGGTCTGAGGCTCGAACCCCTTAACCCGCATCCTCACGATTAGGAGTTCCGTAGCCTAACCACTATAGACTACCAAGGCCAAATACAAAACAATATTATATACTGCTTTTGTACTAGTAGAAAATGGGGTTAATTTTGGACCAGTTGCCAGTTTTGTTCGCCAATTTCTTCCTTTGATTTTGGAATCGATTTTTCGCGTAGCTTTTTCAGTTCGCTAAATGCAGTCTCTTATAAAAAAGACTGTCGTGTTTCTGCGGTTGCGAAGGTACATGTATCATTATGACTGATTACCTGGAAAATGGAGAGAAACAAAACAACAGTCGCGGGAGACTACTACTCCGGTTTGCTGGTAAAATTGTGGTCCGAATTGGTGATAAAAAGGAGTGGAAAACTCTGTAATGGGATCCTCCTACTACATGACAACGCCCCTGCGCACACGGCACAACAAGCAGATCAGACATCAGAATAGCGCGGCTTTAAAATCCTGCCACACCCAGCTTATTCACCAGACCTAGCCCCCTCAGACGTTTTTGTTGCCTAATCGTTAAAAATTCACTCAAAGGACGTTGTTTCCATGACAACGAGGACGCCATTGAAGCTTTTGAAGACTGGTTTGGATCCCATTCTGGGTAATTTTTCTCTCAAGGACTTTTAAAGGGCAAAGAGAAGAGGCGGCAGAAATGTATAACTCTGCATAGTGACTATGTAGAGAAATAAAAGTATGCGTGCCACATTACAAAGCTCTATCTTTATTCCTTCATACATATATATTGTATTTAGACCCAAGACTTCTTGAACTCCCCTCGTACATTAACCCCC